CTTGCTCACGTTCTCTTTCCTTCTGCTTCTCGTTTGGACCTAGGGAGTTAAGTCCAGTGTTCCAATGTGGGTCTCCGTCTCCATCTCCATCCATCGCCAGCTGAAGGATCTATGGTGATAAGCAAAATATACATCAGCATGGTTATGGGCCAAGGCCAGTTCAGGCACCCTCTCCTTGTAGAGGAAATTATTAAGCAATTTAATTAAAGGTTTACCTAAAGTGCTTATGCTTCATAATTATTAAAAACAGTAGAATAGTGTTGAGATGGGGGAGCAATTCCTGGAGTTTAATGGAGACTTCTTTTCTCCGTTGAACATAATTTGGGGGATGATCATGACAAAATGCCAATGTTCCCCGAAGCTGCTATTATCAGGTCCTTCCAGGTTCTTTGTCTCCTAAAATGGAAGCGTGAATTTTATGGAGAGAAAATGTATCTTACAAAAGAGATCTGCTGTGGAAGAAAACTGACAGGGAATTTTTATTGTAGATAGAGAGCAAGGAGAACTTTTATGGGGAGCATGGGTGATGTGGGGTACTGCCGAGAATCTTTTCCTAAGGGTCACTTAGTATTATTGGGCAGAGGAAAGGCGAGGTGAGCTGGCCAATCGAACTGTTCCAATCACAGATATCAAGGAGGGCTTCATCTGCCTCCCTATTCCAGACAGCCTGGACTGGTGTTTTAGCACATACCTTCAAGAGCTAAAAAAGTCTTTAATCACACCCACTAGGCAGCTGTGTTCAGTATATTGTTATGTTGAAGGAGAAGGAAGATAAGGATGAGAAACCATCACATGAACCAGTTTCTCTAAACATGACTTTTCCAGCACCTGGCAAGGACAGAACTATCTACATAACCTACAGCCAAACATCAGAGTATCAAGCAAGAAGATGTGATCATTTTATTTACATTTGTAATGATTTGATTATATTAAATAAATTTATAATAAAATAAAGTAGCAAGCAAGAGGGTAAAATAAAACTAATTATATGACGTTATTAATTGCTGTATTGTTATATCCTAGTCTTGGTATCTGAGGAAAAAAAAGGCTTATTTCTAAACTGTTTAGCATTCACAATGTGTTTAGCAAATATCAAGACTAAGAAATAGATTTATGGCATCAGTATTTATAAGAAACATAATTAAATGTGTTAGGCAAATGAATACATAAATGAATACTGTAATTAAATACAAGTGATGTTTTATAGACACAAAGGATCCTATAATACTTTATTGCATGAGTATTACTTTTAAATTTTCACTAGGTGGCAGGCTTAGCTAATGCATTACTGCTTAGTTTAAAATACTAAAGTTCATTTATGTAGAAGAGACAAGTCACATACATTTTGTTCCAAATAAAAATTTCAACTATAGAAGTCATTCAAATATAATTGGGTCCCACAATTTTAATTATTATTCACTCACTCTTAGGCCCTATCTATTATTCTGGTTCATCTAATGAGTTAGAAAATAAGCCATATGCTTATAGCACTCACGATTTGTAGGACGATAACCATTCTCCAGCAGATGAAATGCATTCCTGTCCTTAAGAAGCTATGTTGACCTCGGAAAGTATCATTCACTAGTGTCTTGATGTTCCTTCATATAGGAGTACCCCAGTCTGCCACAGTTTACCACCACTTTTACTAGTATTCATTGGCTGGTAATCATTCAGTTCTGCTGCCTCCTCAGTCAGTTCTCGGAGTTAAATCATGAGTATTTCACTTCAATATCTCTTCTGTATTTCCTTAAGACTGGAGATTGCTAATATTGGACATTTACCATTTTTTTTTTTTGTTAAATTAGATGTTAGACACCAGCTCTCTAGTCCTAGGACATTACTAAGGACAGGTCTATCCCTCTTTATGCTAGATAAGTTGGTAGACCTGATATTTCAAAAATAGATTTGATTTTTAATATATGAAAAGCCAATATATTGCTAGGTATTCTTAATAATATATTATTGTTTCTGATTATCTGACTTTCTTTACTAAGTATCCGATCTGTATTAGACTAGTAAGAAATGACTGTTTGAGTATTTCTTGATTCTGAAGGATTAGTTAGATTCTGACTATGGAAGTTCTACAGTAAATGCATTGTTTTTTTTTTTTTTTTGTGTGTGTGTGTGTGTGCACACGTGTGTGTGTGCTTCAATTTTCAGTAAGGTGCCCATTGTAAGTGATTTCTTAAGAGGGTATTTGCCACCTGTGGTTTGAGTAGATAATGTAGTTAGTTCTCTTGGTTTGCAATAGAAGTTGGAATCTCTAAACAACCAAACATCAAAGTACCAAGCAAGAAGATGTGATTTTGTTGTCTGGTCAATAGTAGATTTGCTAGATCCACCAAGACCAGCCAGAGCCACAATGATAGCAACTCAACTAGTTCTGCAGATTGAAGTTAATGTGATGGTTTGGAACAGAACAACAAAAGTCTGTAGACATGGTAGTGTGAGTTTAATCCATCCTCCCTACAGTTTTGCAGAAAGGAGGTACAAATGGGAACAGCAAAGATGGAAGTTCAAGTATAGATTGCAGCATTTAGTGTCTAATTAAACTACAAGATTCTGTGTTAATTGATCTGCTTTAGTGACATTACTTATTCATTTAACTACCTGTAAGCTCCTATTATTAAATACAGGCTGTGACATCCCATATGTTAACTATATTTAGTATTATTATTATATTTATTAGCTAACTGGCTTTGAAATGAAAAGTCAGTGATTCTGAAAGCGGATTGCTTGGGATGCAAACAATACAGATTACCTGTCAAGTAGACAACAGAAGCCCTGTGTCTCCCACTAACCCTTCATTCCAACTGCATGAGCCAAGATTCAGAAAATAGGTCTAGCAAGATGTGTTAGTTAATGATATATAAGAGACAGGCAGTGGTAAGCCCTGAAGGGAATACCAAGTCTTTCTAGATGCTGTTTCATAAGAGAAAATCCCTAGAATATAGGGCAAGAGATAGCGTGAAAATCAAATGCCAGGGGGTTTTCACTTCAAAAGATTTAAAATTTCTCATTTTAACTGGATTCTAGAGGAAATTAAAAAAAAATCTTTGATTTCAAGCATGTAAAGGTTGAAGAGAACAGCAAACAAGAAAGCAATGGTATCTTAGGAAGAAAGACTAAGACAAAAAATGCAGTAAGTCTCTATAAGATATCCCAGTGATGTGGCTCAGCAAAAAGGGGGCCTGCCATGTAAGCGGCATGTTGTAGTATTTTCTCTCCCTCCCTTCCTCCCTCTCTCTCTCTTTCTCTGTCTCTCTCTTTCTCATACACACACACAAGCACAATAGTAACAATAATAGTAATAAATAAATAAAAAACTTTTCAATTTAAATTCCTTGAAAATACTATCTATTTCCTGCCACGTGGCTAAATGCTTCACAAATCATTCAAAATCTTCAGGGCTCCTTTCCTTATAAATAATCAAAACAACGGCATGTTACACACAAAAAAAAATATGACTGTGTTTTTTATGTTAAACCTGTTTGCTGGATTTATTCGCTTCACCTGTGCTACATGTTATTTAGACAAAGAAATAAGATCTGCCATCAAAACTAAGATGAAGGCATAATACTGCATTTCTCAGTTTATAAAGTATGAATGATGCCAAAGTTCCTAAAGCCCCACCCAGGTAAAGAATGGGATATTCTTTCAAATAATTCACAAATTTCACATATAACTCTGAAAGAGATTATTATAAAGAATGATTTTAGTATGTTAACTTGAACAGTTACGGCAGCCTTTGAAAAGCGACTTTAGAGGAAGTCATCATGAACTGTTGACTCTTCTGGAAACATGGGCCTGCATTTTGCTGAAGTTTTAGCTTGCTACACTTGCTCTGTAGGTGGGAGATGTTTCTGCAATTCTTCTATTAGCATCAGGAAATTAGACCCCAGGAAATGTAAAAATCCTCCTCAGCCAGCACAATGGCTCAGGAATAGGGCTCCTCTTTTAAAACAAGCACATTCATTTGTAAAGTACTGTCAAGTAATGAGCTGCTAAAGCAAGACTAACATCAGCATTGGAGTTAATAGGAAATAAAGTTGATTTGTTTTTGAGGCCCAGACAAATGGTTTATCACTCATACTTTTCAGTAAATGCTAGTCCTTGAGCTCAGAGATGAGCTCAAACTGCTATTGGCATTTTAAGTGATATTAGCTTAATTTAACTTGAAGACATCATTTGGGAAAAGAAACATATTACCATAGAAAATAACTACTAGAAAATCCCAAAACTTTAGAACCATAAAAACTGTAAGTGATGCATGAAGATCAGCTAGACCAGAACAGCAACAGAAGCAAAAACAGTCGTTTATTGTACAATCATGATGCGCTACTTTGTGAGGATGAAAAAGTCAAGTGTGTGTGGACATGTGACTTTTTCAGTGTATAAGAGAGACATATGGAAAGTGGGTAGTGCAAAAACACTCAGCTCATCTTGTAACATCTTAGTTAATGCTTTCACCTTGACTTCAATTTATTGGTGGAATTTACCTAAATTATGGTATTTTCTTATCTGATTAGCTCCTTGTGTCAAGATTTGACCTTTAGAAAGAGTGTGGTATTAGGCTAGGAATCATAGCTTAGAAAATCTCATAGAATGGACAAGAAGAGCATCAAGTGAAATTTTTAGCAATCTAAATAGTCATATATTTTATTTTAATATAACCCACAAAGTGATCTTAATACCTTTTTAAATCAACTTTATGAGTTTCCCTTCTATGCTGTTTCATAATTATGGAAAGAAAACATCAAATTAAAGGAAAATTGCTGAATTTATTTTTTCTAACAGTACAAATATGTTGGTTAAATATTTTTAAAAATAGTGCTACATTTTTTCTTATATTTTACAGATCATTTCATGTGACAGTGCCTGCAGTCGTAATTGGATGTAATTTTATGCCTAATGCTAGGAATCACTCATTCATAAATATGCTATTATAAAAACATACCATATTGGATTATTAGTGTGATGCAATTTTTTCTTTAATTTAGGTTGTTTTCCAGTCTCAGTATTATCACTGAGCTTACTCACCCAGCAAATATGAGATTCATGCAATTCAGAGCCAAGGACTGTTACTCTCTTGCACTTTCAAAACTGGAAAAGGTAAGACCAATATTAAGAAAGCTTGTATACTTGGGTTCAAAGAATCATGGAAGGTATGTACTTTAAAGAAAGAATAATAGCCTTTGATGGTTGCTGTATTCAGTCATAACTCTAGCACAGCCGGAGACAAAGCCAGCTTTGTTGCTGACCTAGACAAGGGTGCCTACCTCTTAAGTTGAGCTGCAGGAGAACACTAGAATCTGAAAAGCAGGAGCAAAATGCACCAAAGTCTGGAGATTTGATTTAATAAGAGTCTTTCAAAGAAGTCTCCAAATTAGGATTACACAATTAGTATGCTAAACAGACCAATGATTTTGTGGTAATGTTCTGTAGATTGTAAGGTTTGATTTCCATTCTAAGGACCAAGCTGAGTGTGATCCATGGCTCCTTGACTCTTGGGTGATTCTAGATTTGTGGACTACTTCTCAGGAGGGGAACTTTATGACTAAGTAACTCACAACAGATTGTAGTTGCCTACTCAGGAGATTTGCTAATACTTATTCAGAAGATACTTCATGGTTCTTCAATTTTCAAGAGCAAAGATCAATGATTCAGCTCATTCTAATATGTGATTAGCTTACTTAAATGCAGATATATTACACAAAGATCAGGCTAACAGGAGCTACTTAAGTTTTAGTGATCACCAAACTTCATAATGCATATGCACCAACAACAGTTTCCTTGTGTATTGTTTAGGGCAAATACAAGCACAACTAAATAGAGTCACATAGAATACCTTGTCTCAAAGATGGGTTTCACTATTATAACAGATACTGCTTGAACGTCTTAAAGACATATAGTGATAAAGTGTTTTGGGTACTCTCTGTACTCTCAGTCTCCAGAATTAAAACATATGCTATGGTAGACTACTCTTACATTACTATTCTTTGGTACTAAGGAAATCATTGGTATTCTTCAGTTACTGATGTAGAAAATAAGCTTGATATGGTGTAAGTTCAAAATTATACATGGCTCAAATCAATGGTGGATAATAAATATAGAGCCATGAGAGTTCAGAACAAATAATTTCCAGGACACCACACCATTTTAAAGCTTTAAAGGTTTTTTAGTGAGAGTTAAATGGTCCAATCTCTATAAGCAAACGCAGTAGTTAGGAATCTGGGTGGAACTGGTGATGACATGTACCGTTTGCATTGTCCTGACAAGTGAAATGGGATGACATTGTACTGAGGAGCCTACTTGGGAGTCGGAAGTCACATCTCCACACTTCTCAGGAATGAAACCTGGGTTAGTTATTTTTTTGTTTCTAGCCTTGAAGTCTCTTTTTAAAATTAATTTACTTTTTTTTAAAAAAAATTCATTTTACATTCCAATCACAATTCTTCCCACTCTCCCTCACCTCCCCCACAACCCACCTCCCATCCACTTCTCCCAGTATAAGGATAAGGACAAGGACACCACTGGAGAGTAAACAAAGCCTGGAACATTAATTTGGGGCTTAACCAAGCTCCACCGACCTGCATTAAGTTTGAGCTTTACATATGATCATAAGGAAGGAGCTCCAATAAGCTAGCTCATGTGTTAAGATCGACTCTGTTTCTATTGTCAGGGGCCCCTCAGAAAGTTCAAGCTTCACCATTGTCTCCCACATACATAGGGCCTAGTTCAGTCCCATGGACCTAGTTTTGAAATCTTATCAGGAAAACGGCGCAAAGAAATAAATTTTTTCATGTAAAGGTTATGGCTCATAATTAAGGCATAACAGTCTAGTATTTAATTTAATAAGTATTTAAATGATACTAAATGATAAATTATATTTGTTTATAATGACATAAATTTTGATCTTATTCTCTAGAGTTAATTATTTGCAAAGCAATTTGATGCAGAAATGTCATAAATGTGGATAATATTTTCAGCATTCATGAAAACTTTGCAGTTGTATGTTTCTTGCACTAAGTATACAAAAGTCAAAATGGACAATTTTTAATCTTTGTTTATGCATCTATTTAAAAAAAATAAATCTATTGACATCTTAGAAATTCTTTGTATAAATATAGAAAACCTTATTTGAATATCGAAAGCAGATTATACATGCTATGTCAGTTATCTATATGTAATATTTTATTAACCAAGAACATGTATTTTGAGTATATAACAATCAATTATCTACCTTTGTTTATATATAGGGAAAATAAAATTTGTATATCTTTACAAAAAACAGGGAGTTATGTTACTGATAAAGGACACTCTACTAGACACCCATGAAAATCCATTCTGTGGAATTTCATTTGGTTAAAAGGAAGATTTTTTATGAGGTTGTTCAGGTGAGGGATCAGGAGTGGAAAACTCGTTAGGGTACTGAAGTTAGAGAAAGTGGAAAAGCTACTGGCTGATTAAATGACAGAAAGTCAGAATACTGGAATCTTTGCTTAGGCATAGATTTTTGTGGTGAAGTAGCACTTTCTATATGCTAGACGTTGACTATGTGATCATACAGGAAGGGGAAATTGGAGTCCTTTCTTTGGATTCTTGGTCTTATTAATAAAATATTAAAATGGGTTTGAGTGAAGCTCAAGGATAAAAAATGATGTTTAATAATAAACTTCACTCTAGGTAGTCAAGGTATAAATGAGAAAAACATTTGAATACCTGTTTATTATGATTTGTCATGCCTCTCTAGGGACGAGTAGACATCTTCTGATGATCTGAATCTAGAAGGAAACCCAGGGAATGAGTCTTTCTTTAATTTAAGATTTTATCTTATGTACTATTAGTAGGTGTGTGTGTGTGTGTGTGTGTGTGTGTGTGTGTGTGTGTGTGTATACATATATGCATATGTGTTGCCTGTGTGTACTTTATCCACTAATCCATTGTTCTGGCCTTGAACTAGGAGTATTATCCAGTACTCTTAGAAGAATTCACCTTAATTTTGTGGTTTTCCTTAAAGGAAAAGTGCAAGAGAAGGCCAGAGAGCACCTTCCTGGTTCTGATGCTTTAGCAAATGTGAAGGTGACAGAGTGAGTCCTAAGCCCATTGCCACAGCAACAGTTTCAGGTTCAAAATGGAAAATTAGCTGAAAGCAGAGAAGCATCACTGGTCCATAGAACTTTACAAGTATGATTTTAAATATTTGTCTCAAAAATGTCTTGATAATCCCCGGTTACATCCAGCAATTGCTAAGCCTCGTCCATTCCCCAAAGTCTCAAGATTGTGTATCCCAGTGAGTGGTATGCTCATCCCTATACCAGAAGCTTCCATTGGTGTTATCCTTCAAGTGAACTTTATTGTCCATAGTATATCATTTCACCTGGGACATTGACATTATTATCCCTTCACTAAGTAATGATAATGTGAAATGAACTGTGTAGTTTATTAAAAATATATGTTTCAATTTTTGTCCCTGTATTCTGACTTTAAGCACAAGAATGTCCTGTGCTCAGAGTCCCACCCAGACCTGGCCTTTCCCTGTAGGATGTTCCTCTGCATTCTATTTGGCAAAATAGCATTTAATGTACTCTGTGAGTAGACACACAATACTAGCAGATTGGTGAAATTCCGAGAGATCCTAAATTACATCTGGACGGGCAGAAAAGCCTTTGATTTGAGTTCAGCTGGGAATTGTGACTTATGTGATGTGGTAGGAACCATGTGAAGTAGGAACCGTATAGTTTGCATGTTCTCTGCACTAAGCGCAACAACTTAAGGGACTGGAAGTGCACCCATATAATAGCAGGGAATTGCTATCATAATGCAAACAATTACACGCAATATTAGTAGTCATTGGAGAGCTGAAGGGGGGGCATACTGATAACTAGAGATAAATTGTTGAGGTTTGTTTTGCATATGTTCATTTTGCAAAATCAACAAGAAATAATTTTGTACATCATCTTAAATCAAACTGAAATTAAATTAAATTAAACTTAAATTAGAATAAATTGAAGGGAATGGATATTTATCGGGCAGCTGCATGTGCACAAAATGCCTTGCCAAATATTGGCAGTTTTAAAATTGAACAGAAAACTTGAAAATTATAATTTCATGGGCAACACAGACATAAAAATGCATAAGATAATATTGTCTTCCTTCTTATTTCTGTACAGACAACTTTCTTGAGAAACTGAATTATTCATTAAAAATTCAGACACTATAGTTGTTAAATTGAATGTGGTACAAAATGGCAATATTGAATTTGATCCGTTAGTAAAGATTCATATACTGTTTTTACAAATACATTTTTCCATCTTTATTTATTTTTTAATGAATTTGAGGATATACAGCTTTTTATTTCTTTACAAAGGTGACAAATACAAATGATATGAGAAACAACTTTACTATGTGAATTGTTTTAAAGCAAAAATGTTTTAAAACATTGGGCCACTAGATAGGCCGTGAGCAACCCTAGAGATTCGTTTGCTTACTCGTGAACATTCCACAGAGTTGCCATGTACTATTTAGAAGATGAATGCATAGTCCACATACAAAACTATTATTACTGAAATTACAAATGCAATACAATGAGGGATTGGTGTGACAAGTGGCTGATTGCCAGTATTGAAACTTAAAATATGTATTATGCTGGAGAGGTTGAGGGGAAAAGGGAACACTTCTGCATTACTGGTGGGAATGCAAGCTGGTACAACCCTTTTGGATGTCAGTGTGGTGATTTCTTAGAAAATCAGGAAACAATCGACCTCTAGACCCAGTAATACTACTTTTGGGTATCTATCCAAAAAATGCTCAGCTGTGCCACAAGGACACATACTCAACTATGTTCATAGAAGCATTGTTTGTCATAGCCAGAACCTGGAAACAACCTAAATGCTCCTCGACTGAAGAATGGATAAGGAAAATGTGGTACATTTACACATGGAGTACTACATAGCAGAAAAAAATAACGACATCTTGAATTTTGCAGGCAAATGAATGGAGCTAGAAAACATTATTTTGAGTGAGGTAACCCAGACACAGAAAGACAATTATCACATGTACTCATTCATAGTTTGATTTTAAGCATAGTAAAGAAAACCAGCCTACAAAAC